TTTGTTGGATGAGACAACTCTGGGGAGGCTCCTAGACAAGCACTGGTCATGAGAACAGAAGAAGCCATGATTAAAGGCTTGGGTTTTTTGGCCCCACCTCATACTCCAGCCCTCAGAGAGGGAGAGGGGCTAGAAATGGAATTGATAATTGGCCATGCCTATGTGAGGAAGCCTCAATAAAATCCCAAGAGTACAAGGTTCAGAGAGCTTCCAGGTTGGTGAACACATCATACCAGGAAAGTGTCACACTCCCTCTCCACAGGGACAGAAACTCCTGTGCCTGGAATCCTCCCAGACCTCACACTACGTAGCTCTAGCTTTGGCTGTTCTGTTTCTGTTATCGCATATTTTAAATAAACTAGTAAACATAAGTGTTTCCCTAAGTTTTGTGAACTGCTCTAGCAAATTAAACCTGAAGAGGAGGTTGTGGGAGCCTCCAATTTGTAGCCAAACTGGACAGAAGCTGTAGGTAACCTGGGGACCTCTAACTTATGACTGGCATCTAAAGTAGGGTGGGAGCAGTCTTATGGGACTGTGCCCTTAACCCATGGGCTCAGACTCTCTCTAGGAAGACAGTGTCAGAACAGAGTTAAATTGTGGGAAAACTAGCTGATGTCGCAAAAAATTGCTTGGTATCAGGAAAAAAAAAAAAAAGCTCTACACATTTGGAGACCACAAATTAAGTATTTTGTATGAATAGTAAACACACAGGAGAAAGACTCACAGGAGGTAGACTGAATTGAATTTTTCCAGTATGATGGCTTTAAAGAGGCCTAATAGGGTAGCCTAAGAACATTTCATATCTCTGTATTAGATCAGTTCCTCATAAAATGTAAATACAGATTACTTAGCTCATGGAGTTCTTCAAATATCTTAAAATTATAACATCTTTTTCAAGTGTTAAGTGTCGTGTAATTACTTGGTTAATCAAGTATTTGCTTGGTATGGCCAAATGCACTAATGAACCTGTATATAGTACTTTCCTAAAAAGCTGAGTACCTTCTTGGCTCTCCTAACAATGGTGAGCAATTTAACGGAGCTAGCTTGGAAAAAGTTGTTTCAGGTTTTCAGGGTTTTTCCCTGCTTTAAGGGGAAAAGCTTACAATGGGCTAAACAGTAACAGTTCTGTAACAGACTCGGGTTTATCCGTTCCCTATTGTGAACGCTTGTGCAGATACTCCTCTCATTAAATGGTGACGCAGGAATAGAGAAGTGACTGGCTGGTCAGGTTCAGGAAATAACGTAGGAAAGCGAGGAAGCAGTCCTCCTAGCCATGATTTATAAACTCAAATTCAGGCTTAAAATCCTTCCATCTACCTACTTTTGTACAAATATGTTTAATGGAAACACCTCTTGATAACTGTTGTTCTCTTTATCCTGGACCATTAAACGATACATGAGCGTAGGGCTAAGAAAGTCTCAAAATTTATGGGAAACTATCCTGGTTAAAAACTCCCTATAATCATATTGTAGTAACTTTGTATGGTTACAGATGGTAAGTACACTTATCATAGTGAGTGTTTCATAATGTAATTAATTATAAAATCACTATCTCATACATTTGAAACTAATACACGTCAACTATATTTTAATTAAAAAAGATAAACTTCCTACCATATACTGTTCTATGAGATTCTTCATTTTCAGCTTTCATTAAACCACATCTGGCCTGGCAAGTTTGACAAACCAAGTCTCTTTGACCAGCCTATTTCCTGTAGCTTAGTGTGGAAATGAACTGAACGATGGCAACTTGAAAGATTTAAAAGGCTCCATTTTAAAAAGTTTTTCAAAAAAATAAATAAAAGTTTTTCATTTAAAAGCACATTTCTGGTAAGATTATGGGTAATGCTCTTTTCCTGTTGGTTTTCCAAACTTTCAAAATGACTTACTATAATTTTAAAAATTTTATGTTAGAATAAACCTGCCATAAAAAGAATTCTCCTCCCAATAACAAAAGAATTCTGACAGTCACATTTGCTCATAGATGTTATAATGAGATTGTTTAGCATCATTTCCCCCCTTTCTTTAAAGTTTTTTTTTTTTTTTTTTAAGATTTTAGTTATTTATGTGACAGAGAGAGAGCATGCACACACATAAGCAGGGGGAGCAGCAGGCAGAAGGAGAGGGAGAAGCAGTCCCCTGCTAAGCAAGGAGACTGACGCAGGGCTCGCCGATCCCAGGACCGAATCGGACCTGAGCCAAAGGCAGACGCTTAATCGACTGAGCCACCCAGGCGCCACTCCCCGCATACCTTTTTAAAAGTTTTTATTTAAATTCCAGTTAGTTAACATACAGTGTAATATTAGTTTCAGGTGTACAATTTAGTGACTCAACACCTCCATATGACACCCAGTGCTCATCCGCTTAGCATCTTTTATGAGAGTAAAACTCAGTAGTGTGATTTAGATATCTCCAAATTAATAAAATGCTAGTTTGAACTACTGAAAAAGACTCTTTAAGACCTTAATAAAGAAGTAAGTTGACTAGAGATAAAATCCGAAATTAAATTATTACCCTCAAAGAAGAAAGTAAAATGAGTTTATAGGAAGCTATTTATTAACATCTTCTAAGGTTAAATCTTTTATTTTTTTAAAGTTTTTTTTTTTTTTCAAGTAATCTATATACCCAGTGACGGGCTTAATCCATAACCCAAGATCAAGAGTCACATACTCCACTGACAGAACCAGCCAGGCACCCAAGCAAGGTTAAATCTTTTAAACTTCGGTTGTAACTAATATGAAAACAGAGTAATTATATAGCACAGTGATTAAGAATGTGAGCTCTGGAGTCCAATTATCTGGGTCCAAATTTTAGCTTCTTAACTTACTCTGTGAACTTGGGCAGGTCACTTCCATAAACTTTAGTTTCCTCATTGTAAAACGGAGAATAATTATTTCAGCATTATTTTAAGGATTAAGTGAGAGGATTCCTGATTTTCTTTCTTAGGCCATATAAATTTATGTTGCAAAATACAGTGAAACAGCTAAGAAGCACAGTGTGACCCAGTTCGGCTATGCTGTAGGTGAACCATGACTCCACTCTGTATAGCAATAAATATTGCCACTTTGGGGTTGATTTCAAAATGAGAGCTACCTTTGTTCCCTAACACCATGTTATAACTTCTTAATAAGCCTTCTTTTGGTATGTTTTTTCTATAAATTATATCAATATTTTCTATAATCTAGTCTTCTATACGAGGTCTACACAAGGTTGTTTTTACTAAAGTAGAGATGTTAAAAACTGATCACTTGGAATCTACTTTAAACTGTATAATAATTAGTGGTGTGAAATTGCTTTGAGAAATTCTACTTGGGGGGCAGCTGGGTGGCTCAGTGGGTTAAGCCTCTGCCTTCAGCTCAGGTCATGATCTCAGGGCCCTGGGATCAGGGTACCCCGCATCGGGCTCTCTGCTTGGTGGGGAGCCTGCTTCCCCCTCTCTCTCTGGCTGTCTCTCTGCCTACTTGTGATCTCTCTCTCTCTGTCAAATAAATAAAAATTTAAAAAAAAATCTTAAAAAAAAAATTCTATTTGGGAAAGAATATACAGCTACCAAAGAAACTTCCTCAACAATTCTATTGAGTATTTATACAATTGACCCTTAAACACACTGCCCTGTGCAAATCTACATGCATCTTATTTTTTTATAACTACAGTACAGAACTGTAAATTTATTTTTTTCTTAAGATTTTCTTAATAACATTTTCCTTTCTCTGGATTACTTTATCATAAAAATACAGTATATAAAATATATAACATACAAAATATGTGTTGATCAACTATTTATGTTATTGGTAAGGTCAACAGTAGGCTATTAGAGTTAAGTTCCTGGGGAGTAAAAAAAATCATACAGCACTTTTTGACTACAGAGAGGGTTGGAGGCCCTGACCCCAGGCACTGTTCAGGGTTAACCGTAATGATGCAAATGTCTATAGGATTAATTCTTTCTAGATATGGACCTGTTCATTTAACTCAAACTCAAATGTCTACTAGAAATTTTATTGTGACATGTGGGTAAATTATATGACTCTCTATTTCAGATTGACAGCAGTAACTGAATCAAGCTATTCAATCTAAAGTCTCTTCAAATTTGTTTATAAACAAATCAGGTGGGCTATATGAACACATAAAAACCAGTCACAACTAAAATATTTACTTGAGAATAAAATGGAAACTATTTGATCTTTAAAACAAAATTTCAAAGTAACAAAACCACCCAGTAAAAAACCAAAAAACCCAAAAAACAAAAAATGATGGGATTTTTATATTCACATTAACTCTTAGTAATTTATACCCAATGACAGTAGTGTTTTCTTATACTGTTAAATCTGAATTATTTCCTAGCACTTACTTAAACAATGATAAATTTTGACAAAAATGTTAGAAATGTGTTTACCTATTTATATATATATTCTTAATTCTAAGGAAATAGGAACATTAAATAACAAATACTTGAAAAGCATGTACAGAAGGAATATCCCATATGATGACAGATTATTTGGTAGACAACTAATTAAGATAGTTTTTTTTAGATTAGCAGACCAGACTAAAAATGACAGAATCCCCAAAGATAAATTTCTGTACTTTCACTCACTTCACCCGAAATTTAATTTAGACTGAAAAAAAGCATTTGCAATGAATGTAAAATTTGAGGTACATTCAATTTCCACTTGAACTTATTAACATTTCCTCCCATTTCTGTCAATATTGAGCACTAAGTAAAACCCACTTGTTAAAAAACCCAGCTAATATGCTAATATGAACAGCTTTGCAAGATCAAATTAAACACCTAGCCTTGTGGAAATAATACTTTTTCAACCTATTTGCTTTCTTTACTGGACTTTAGAATAAACAGACACACAGTTAATATCATAGATAGCAACTTGCCAATTAATTTCCATATATAGTCAAATCAATTCCTGTATTATAAAGAAACAAATGTCAGTGCTATACTGGGGGTGTAACTCCTTATAAAGCAAGCACGAATGTGGCATCAAACTTACTTTTCCAAAGAAGCCTTTGAAGAACTTCCTTTCCTGGAGGAACAGGGGGACAAGTCGAGTGCTATTATTGTATGGGCTAAATGTCCCAGGGTTCATACCAATAAGCACATACAGAAGTTGGGTAAAGGGCAAAGTAGGAGAAGGGGAGGGAGTGAGAGTTTTAAAGAGTTATCCATACCAGGAGTGACAGGGAAAAAGGAAGGGTGCATGAAAATGCAGGGAGACATACTGTATGGCCTAAGAATCCATAGGAAGAGAAGAAATCAGAACCTGGATCCATGCAGAGCAACTAGTTAGTTTAGTATTCTCTATTTACTTCTGAAACAGAGATTATCCAAATTTGGCAGCAGAGAAAAAGATTAATAAGACATACTGGTTCGGTGAGATTTGTATTTTAAATTTCCTAATAGTGAGTAGTAAGTACATTTTTCAATTTCCATATACATTTTTCAATTTAAAAACCAGTGGTCTACTATATGGAAGTCATCAACTTAAAAAAAAGTCCACATTTGGATAACAGCATAATCACATAAAAATGCAATACATAAAATTAAATTATGAGTGTGCAGCAAGAATCTTTGTCAGACTTTTTCTTACCAAGTTCAAGATGTCACTTAGAGAATCTTTACTCATCCATTGGGATCAATTTGTAAGTATGAATATGTGTGGGCTGATCAATGCCACAACAATCATGGGGAAATAACAGATATGTTCTATTCTAAACAGAGAATAAATTGTCTTTAAAGAACACAAAGGTAATGCTTTCACTGCAGGTGAAAAAAAATATATCTGTGGACCACAACTGAAATTTTTAAAACAGGCTTTTGTTTTCTTTTAAAATGATACTGTTTTAGAATAATGAAACTTGCATTGACAATTATAAGTATGTAACTCTGAAACTACGTAGATAAGAGAGAAATCATCTCTGGTTCCAGTACCAATTTTTAAGCTTGTAGAAATTTTGAAAGCTGGCCACCATTTAAGATCAGAAGAACTTATATGAAGTAGACGGGTTCTAACCCAAGCTATCTTAACTTTATATTTCCTAATTTTGGTTGAACTATTTAAGCCTTTAGTTTTTATAATCAGTTTTTAATGTTGGATAAATGCCCAGAAAAAGACAAATGTACTGAAATTTTACTCTCTCGGACAATTTATAAACTCATTCACTACTCTCAAACACTGAAGAGTTTGTTTCCTACCTAAGTTACAAACAGCATCAAATATTTCCAAAAAATGTTTTGAATTTAAGCTGGAAAAACAATAAATTGGGGTAGTTACTGCAATAAGACTAAGTTTACTTCTACTGCCAAGTTTGGTGACCCTAGTTTTGTTAGACTGTGAGTGACCATCAGCTTTTAAAGATACAGCCAAAGATAAAAGATTCACCATTCTTGAGGGAGAGGGAGGTGAGGGAAAGAGATCTGTTAATATTTAGTTCGGCTCCCATAAAATCTCTTGTTAAACATGTAGTATGCCCTCTTTTCTTCAAAGACCTCAGTTGTTAATGAAAAAAGTTGACGTGCAAAATGCATTAAAAGATAGTTATTAGAGAACGTTAGTGCTTTTTTCTAAAAAAAACAAGTTATGATTCTTTTACCTGCTAAAACAAGAACATATATTAAAGCAAATATATCAAATAGTGAATAAAAAAATAACATATTAGAAACTGTCAGTATAATGGAACTAGTCTAAAACCAAGACAGAGAGGGAGAGATATTTAGAGACAATGGGAAGAAGAGACCTTTAAAAGGAAAGAACATCTTGGACCAGTGTCAGCAAGATAACCAAAGGCCCGATACACCTTTTACAAAATAGACTAATAAATGATGTTACTACTCACCCTTCAACTATGTCAATAAAGGCACTGAAAATGGGCAATAGCTGTTTCTGCCATTTATCGAATATGATCTAAGTCCTAAAGTGGCTAATTTGTGCACGTATGTCACAAAACAAATGAGCTGAAAATAGCTGTAATTAACTTCATCATACAAAGTAAAAAGAATTTAAACATTTATGCTCTGAGAAGCAGGTTTAAAACTTAATCTTAAAAAAAGATGACCCCCTTTAGTTTTATCTTTTCATTTGAGAATATTAATTATGCAGGTAACTTCTAGTTGATGTTAAAGTGATCCTAAATTGTAAGGGACTACTTGAGGATAAATAAGAACTATATTTGCAAATTTTCCGGCTTCTTCAATTATTTGCAAATTTAAAAAGCTCCAGAATGTCACATTTTTAGTTCAAACATCATTCAAGTGATAGGTTTAAGATGTTTGTTTTGCTACTTAACTTGTACATCTGAGCTATGTAATTATTTAATTTAAAACTCTGGCATTCAAATTAGTTCCATAAACATGTTATTTCTTCTTTAATCTGTAAGCCTGTATACTTCCACATTTACTTCCATTTATTTGAAACTCTAAGGAAGAAGACATAGCTTTTGGCACAATATAAGCATCTGGTATAGCAGATTATAAATGTCAGATGAATGTTTGGTAAGGGTGGGGAGGCAACTAGAAATTTCTTCATAGTAAAAATATGAAAAGACAAAAATCTAAAATATTTGTGGACTAATATGGTCTGAGAAGAACAACATCCTGAAGACTTCCGACTTTCTGGAAACTTCTCAGTATAGCATTAGAAAGAGTATTTATAGGAGGAAGTTTCATTGAGTACAATAAACAGGAAATTGACCCCAAAATTCAATCTTATTTTTAAATACATGTTTATCTACGTGAAACTATGCACAACATTTGCCCCAAGTCTTTTGGATAGTATTAGTCTGAAAAATTTTAAATAATTTCTTGAATGAAAAGTTCAGAAGTGGTCAATTTCCCCTCAGTGTTCAAAAGTTTAAGTATGTCCAGAAAAGCAATCAACATACTTATAAAACTTCATATTAGTCATAAATGACCACATGGAAGTACGAATCATTTAGAGATAAACAAAAGGCTTTCATAAACTTTAAGGCATTAAATGTAAGATAGGGTTATGATAATTGTTATGAGATTTGACTTGACCATATTGAGGACTGAATTGTTTTCTGTATATTCTAGAAATAATTTCTGAGTGGCTACTATGTGCCAGACACTGTTCCAGGCATACGTATAATTTTTTAAATGGCAATTTGGTTTCTATTTCTGGTGAAAAACAAACTTCTTAAATTTTTTTATCTAAACAGTCCTACATCTCAAGTAGGACTTGAGATGTTTATAGTTTATAATCTTCATGATCAAAAAAATAAAAAGGTAAAAAAATTCACTCAATTAAAAAAATTATTCTTTTTAAAGTTTATTTTAATTCCTACACCCAACGTGGGGCTCGAACCCATGACCCAGATCAAGAGTCACATGCATTTCTGACTGAGCCAGCCAGGTGCCCCTAAAAAAAAATTAGTTTTAAAACTAAATGGTGGGGACGCCTGGGTGGCTCAGTTGGTTAAGCAGCTGCCTTCGGCTCAGGTCATGATCCCAGCGTCCTGGGATCGAGTCCCACATTGGGCTCCTTGCTCGGCAGGGAGCCTGCTTCTCCCTCTGCCTCTGCCTGCCATTCTGTCTGCCTGTGCTCGCTCTCTCTCCCTCTCTCTCTGACAAATAAAATCTTAAAAAAAAAAACAAAAAACAAAAAACTAAATGGTGAATAGTGGCTATCTCTGTGATTACAAAAAAATTTTATGTACTGTTTTTACTCATTTACACAATGAACTTATACAATCTATATAATGAAGAGATGCTTCTAATTAAATGTAGGCTTAAAAAAAACTAGTTAAGAGGATTCACTGCTCATTAAACTAAAATACCATTTCTTAATGTCTTCTGTGCAAATTAAAATCATCCCTAGTTTTCCCTTATTTAGACAGTGAACATGAAGCCATGCTCTGAATTAGAAGACTTTCTAAAGGCTCATTCCACAATGACCGTCTACCTGCAAGTTATGTAAGTTAAAAGATTTTGGTAACTATTTGTAGTTTGTTTCAGGTCTATTTAATCTATGCACTGATTTGCCTGTTGTTTTCAGTCATTAGTATTATGATGTTTAAATATTCTTTAATGACTAGTAGGACAAATCATTATATTACTTTAAAAATTTTCCAAGCTAAACTTACTCTTTTAGTGAAATTGGAATTATTCTGTTAAAGAAGAGATTGAATTTATGTTTCTTGGAAAATTACATTGTCTGAGGGTGTATTTAACTGGAGAATATATTCAGATAGACATGACAAGTCTATAAATTATAGCTTCACATACCATAACAGATGAAAGTAAGTCCCCTTAACATTAATGATGATTAGAATAGGAAGGGCTTCAATCATTTAAGAATTTAAATGACCATAATCTGAGGTAAATGGTATGTATGTATGTATAGGCAGTATACCATATGTCTACATATTGGGGGTTCTTTTTTGTTCCTTGCATACTATAATCAGTTATTTCTCTCCTCCTTTCCCTTTTACAACAGATTCACAGACATTTGTTCCAAAATATAATACACTTCTCTAAATTGGTTGCTTCTTTAGTCTTGTATCTTTTATAATGAGGGATTATGGATGAGAGATCATATAAAATATACCAAGCAGAAAGGTTTTGATAAGCAAATTGAGGGGGGGAAAAAAGCACTCATTAGTAGCCAAACTTGTGGCAGCCTACCATACCAGCAAACCCAAAGCAAACAAGTATTTATGCTGTCTGGGGCAAGGGCATGCAGAAGTAATGGTTAAAGCTTTCACAGCAAAGAGTTTGGAAAAAGGCCACACATTGGAGAGAAGGAAGGTTGTGAAGAGGATCGTCAGAGTTTATGAGACATTTCAAACCTATCCAAAATATGATATTAACACTTCTATGTGAACCTTTGTGAACTCTGAATCCATTCTCTCCTTTTATTAAATACACAAGGATGTGCCTGGGATTTAGTCTCAGGTATAACAGGCAAAGACAATATTATTCATCCTAGAAAAGGACTCTCCATTTCAAGTATGCTTAAGTTTGTGAAAAAGGCAGGGGAAAGACACTGCTTATGTTAGAGTGGTATACAGAAGGAATCTGGAGAGTAGTAGTCAAGATAGTAAGTCCTGCCCCAACTGTAAGCCTCACTAGCCATCATCACAGATAACTCTACCTTCCACTGTTTCTTAGAGTAAATTTAACAACAGCAATTTATAACCCAGTTATCACAGTTAGGTTAAGACACTAACTGTAACAGTTTTCTCCTGGTTTTAGAACATTATTCACCTGTAAGATTTCATACCACTTATTTCACATGGGTTCTGAATCCAAAGTACCTTTTGGATAATGTCTGGCCTAAACCGACGAAGTTGGTCTTTATAATTTACGCCTTTGGACAGATAGCATGAGAAGCTCTTTACTAGAGCCCACATCTTTTGCCTTAAGAGAAACACTGGTCTTACTGGATAGTGAATCACTAAAATTTACTGAACAAAATCTCTTCAGAAAATATTTCAGTATATAGATCAACAGTGGCAATCATCAAATACATACAGCTTTCAATCTTTTCACAGCATCTTCGCAGATGTGCATTCCTCTTGACTCATCAACTTCTACGTGGCCAAGGTACTGCAGAAAAGAAGAAAAAAGGGTTATTGCTATGCATATTGAGTAGCTACTATATGGTAGGTATTAGTTGGAAGAAAACTGAATATTAAAATTTCTGCACTCAAGAAACTGCCACTGTATAAGGGTTAAGATGCTATTTTACTTACCCTCAGTGTCCTCATATGAATGAAATTCAGAATAAATGTCTCAAAAAATTGTTATGGAGAAGTGAAAAAGTAATGGTAGGCACTAAACGTTACCTAAATTTATTGGATCTGAAGATAACAACGGCCTGTGTTAGACACAGTTACTGTATCTCTGAACACAAAAATAATCCTAAAACAAAATGTATACATATATAAATATATATACACACATACTGAAAAAGGCACAAATAAAAATAAGTTATTCAAAGGCTGAAGAGATCACATATCCTTTTATGGGGAGCATATAAGAGCAGGGGAGAGAATTAAAAAGACAAATTTTAAGAAGACAATACATTTAAAAGATGTGTAGAATTTGAAGAGGCAAAAACTGAAAGGCTGGGAAACCATTTTAGTAAAAAGAATTTAAGAAAAGTTATAGGTGTGGAATAGCGTAACTATCTATCAGCAAGTACTCCTGTTTGGCTAGGATTTGAGATATGTACAGCTGGGGAATCTGAACGCTGGAATGAGTCTCTACTTAATTCTAGAGTCAACAGAGAGATAATCAAGTGTATTTTTTTTTCCAAGACAGTAATGCAATTCAAATTATACCTTTGTATGGGAATAGCCTTGGGAAAGATAAAGACAGGATGGTGAAAATATTACCAAAATGCTCTCTTTTAAAAAGGAAATTTGATCTGGTTCTGGGTACAACTGAGTAGACTCAATCTTCCCTGTCCCACCCATTGAATGAAACCATAAAACCTGAACAGAACATATTTCAAGTCCCTTTTGTAAAGAGCAGAAAAGTTGTCTGAGAAGAATACAAGGATCCAAGGTATTTCTGAACTGGCAAGGAGTTTACCTCCCACTCTCCTGCTCCATTTTCCCCCTTCCCCTTTCTGATACTTCCAATTTGGACTTAATACAGCCAGAAATCCAAAACTGTGTGCTGTCGCAAAGAAAGAACTCTAGAAAAAGCACTCTTGCTGTGGCTCAAGGATCAAATAAGGAAATGCCTTATCTTCAGAGAGAGTATAGGAATCTCTCTCCCTTTTACTTATCTCTTATTTTTCTTCTCACACCCCAGCTCCCAAAGCTATCCTGTACTGGTGGTAGCAGTGGAAACCTGCAAGAGCCTGAGAGCAGAACTTTCCTCTTGGTATAGTGAAATTGTGATTCCAGGAAGATGAACCAATGCCCTTTCTGCTTCTTTCCCCTCCTTGTATATCTCCCATCATTTGGCCCTGCGTGGATGTGAAATGGTGCGAACTCATGGGAGAGTAGAATAACTAGAGCCCCAGGACACACAGGCACAGAGAGTTTAAGTAACTTGCCCAAGGTCATTCAGCTAGTGAAAACTCAAACCCAAGTGGCCTGACCCAGAACACTCTTAAAATGCATACATGGAATCTTTAACTTTTACTCAAATCTTTCCAATACTGAGTAAGTGCATAAAACCCATGAATTAAAATAAATTTAGGAAAGTACTCGACTTCAGGTAACAAAATACTTGAGGAATCAATCATAACGATCATAAACTAAGACCAAAATATCTAAAGAATTCTAAGAGCTGTAATTCTAAATATTATATAAACAGGAAGAATGCTCACTTTTTAGTGAATCAAATAATGTACCATATATAAGTTGAAAGAATATAAGTTGAAAGAATATAATCTCTTTAGGGCAAATCTGAGTTGAAAGAATATAATCTCTTTAGGGCAAATCTGAATAACATGAAATCCAGTAAGATAAATATTTACATATTCTATTTTGGATTCTCAAATGCAATGAATTTGGCTATAAATTTTACACTTTCTATCTAGATCCACATTTAGTTACATTCTTTGGTTTTACAGATGATGTACAGTGGTAAAGTACTGTTTTCTCAAATTCAATACCACTGAATCCATTATGGATACTGAGTATACATAAGAACCTCAAATTTTAGAAAATTTCTAAACTACTACATTAAAAATAATAATGTTTCATATCAATAAGAAAGGATGCTGATAGCAAATTTTCATCAGTGTACCTCTGTCTGGCTCACTACAGTGTACCTCTGTCTGGCTTTAACACAGATTCCATACTTAGTCATCTTTGCTTATCTTTTTCCTATTAAATTAGAAAAATACTAACTCAAAATTATAGGCTATCAGAAATGTCAAGTGTTTGGTAGTTCTGTCAACTAGTTCTAGATTTTCAGATTGATTTCATACTCAAGAAATAACAGAGTACTCCCTCACTGAAGCTGGTTCTCAACAGTCAGATGCTACAGTGACAGGAATATCACACTAAAATTATTATTATTATTTTTTAGGATTTTATTTATTTATTTCTCAGAGAGAGAGAGAGCACAAGCTGAGGAAACAGCAGGCAGAGGGAGAAGCAGGCTCCCCGCTGAGCAAGGAGGCTGATGTGGGACTTGATCCCAGGATGCTGGGATCATGACCTAAGCCAAAGACAGGCACTTAACTGACTGAGACACTCAGGCATCCCTACACTCAAATTCTGGAAAGCTCTATTTTTCAGCTTAGAAGACAATGATGAATGGATGTTTCAATACCTCTCTGGATGAATTAAGCTCTAAAGACGATTTCTTTATGTTTTGTTGATATCTGGCCTTTTTTAAATACCAAAAATATATTCTTAATTTCCTGGCCCAACAAGTAAGGAAAATAAAGCAGTGGAAAATAGTAAAACCTACACCACTGTTCTGACATCTTAAGAAATTCTGACATCTCATTCTTGGCAACTTGTTTTATATACTGTTAAATTCTTTTAGTCTGTTTTGTTTTTTACTCTATCCTTAATCACTGACTTGAAATGCCAAATACATATTATTAAAAGTTACATTATCCTGGACATTCTATTTTGTTTTACTGTTACTCCTATTTTGACTTATTATAGTTTAAGACTCTTTTAATAAGGGGGAGGAGCAAGATGGCAGAGGAGTAGGAGATCTAAATTTCGTCTGGTCCCAGGAATTCAACTAGTTATCAAACCATTCTGAACACCTACAAACACAACAGGAGATCAAAGAATAGCAGCAATTCTACGAACAGAAAAGCAACTACTTTCTGGAAGACAGGACATGTAGAGTAGTGAATCCTAGGTGATATACGGGAAGACAGACCATGGGGGCTGGGAGAGGAGGGAGTCTCCATCAGCCAGCTCCCGGCAAGTGAGTGGCAGAGCACAAAATCAGAACTTTTAGAAGTCTGCTCCACAGAACGAACATCACTCCAGAGGCTAAATGGGGAGTGGAATCCTCACTGGGACAGTGGGGGGTCTCAGGTCCCTTGGGGCAACGGAAAGACAGGGGGTACCTGAGTGTGGCAGAGCTCTCAGGTATTGGAGCAGGGAAGCTGGCTGCAAAGACAGAGTTGAGGAGTGGGCTCTCAGCTTGGGGTTTTCATAAATCGTGATCCACAGCACAACTAAGTCACTACTCTTCAATCAAGGACCCAACAAGTGACAGATCCAGGGAGACTCCCCTTCCTCCCCCTGGAGGAGCAGCATGGGAGTACACTGCAGGAATCTACTGGGTTTGGACATTCCAAACGGGGTTGTGTGCCAGAGACAGAAACGCTCGGTCACAGTACAGGTGAGCACAGAGTCAGCCGGAGACCAGGGACACAGGACTGATGGACTGCTTTTCTCTAAGGTCTCACTGAGGAGTGGGGCCCAAGCTCTCAGCTCCTCCGGGGCTGGATACTGGGAGGCAGCCATTTTCATTCCCATCCTCCAAAGTTATATGCAAAGCTTTCAGGAAACAAAAGCTACCAAAAGCAAACCCCAAACCTGAGCAGATTACTTAGTCTGGCCCCTGGCAAGGGTGGTGCAATTCTACCTCAGGCAAGGACATTTGAGAATCACTGCAACAGGCCTAACCCCTGGAAAATCAGCAAGAACATCCAGCCATGACCAAGTTTACTGATCAATGAGAACACAAAACTCCAGTGCTAGGAGAATACAGCACACAGAATTTTTGGCTTTTTCCCCATGATTCTTTAGTATTTCAAAATTAATTTTTTGAATTTAAAATTTTTTTTTCTTTTTCTACTTTAAAAAAAAAATTTTATTGGGCAAAGTATGTGCTATAATGGTGAGTGCTGTGAAGTGTGTAAACCTGGCAATTCAGAGACCTGTACCCCTGGGGCTAATAATACATTATATGTGAATAAAAAAATTAATTTTTTTTCTTCTTTCGTTTAACATCTTATTAATTCCTTTTTAAAAATCTTTTTTAATTTTCATTTTCATAGTCATATTCTACCCCTTCATTGTATTTAACCTTATTTTTTGTGTATATATAAGTTTTTCTCTCTTTAAAATTTTGGGATACAGTTTTTTTTTTTTAAGATTTAAAAAAAATTATTTATTTGATAGAGAGAGAGATCACAAGTAGGCAGAGAGGCAGGCAGAGGGGGGAGAGGGAAGCAGGTTCCCTACTGAGCAGAGAGCCCGATGTGGGGCTCGATCCCAGGACCCTGAGATCATGACCTGAGCCAAAGGCAGAGGCTTAACCCACTGAGCCACCGAGGCACCCCGGGATACAGTTTCTTCTAACAGACCAAAATATACCCTAAATCTAGTGTATGGTTTGTTCTAGTTTCCTGCCTGATCACGTTCTCCTTTACTTAAAATTTTTTTCTTTTTTTCAACCAACGTCTTATCAATTCCTTTTTAAAAATATTTTTAAATTTTCATATTTATAGTCATAGTTCATCCATTCATTGTATTTACCCTTATTCGTGTGTGTGTGTGTGTGTGTGTGTGTGTGTGCGTGTGCACGCACGCGTATGATTTTCTTTCTTTAAAATTTTGGGAGGCAGTTTCTTCTAACAGACCAAAATACAACCAAAATCTAGA